TCATCTATTAACGATACTTCAATTAAAAAATGTAACAATACATCAACATTTAAAAAGAAATGGTTATATTTTGAGCAGTTCAAATGTTGGTTACGTGAAGCGCCACATGATGAAAACTAATTTTATTGTTTAATCTGTGACAAGTATCTTACTGCTCATTTATCTCACATTTATCGTCACGTAGAAGCACATGTAAACAAATGTAAAAGTTCTTTTAATGAAACAAGTGAATCGAATGAAAATTTAAATGTACAAAATAATGAATCGCTTTTGTTATTCGAGGAGCGTATAAAAGAAGCAGAAATAAGATTTGCCACATTAATCATGGAAAAAAATATTGCTCATACAACTGCAAATGAGATTCTTAGTTTGTTTCAATATATTGGAAAGGATCCTAATATATTACAAAGCATGAAAATGAGTCGTAAAAAATGTACAAATATTATTACAAATGTTTTAAGTCCAGTTCAAATGGATCATGTTGTGAACAACATTCAGAACACAAAATTTACAATATTTATCGATGAAACATCTGATATTTGTAATGACAAATGGACTTTTCTTGTTCGATACATTGAGTCAAAAACATTAGATAATGGAATGCAATTAGGAATCAAATTAATTGATATTGATGCTAGAGATTGCAGCGCAGAAAAGTTGTATGAAGCATTTAGAAATGAAATGTGGACATTACAGATACCATTTACAAATATTGTTGCCTTGTCATGTGATAATGCGTCTGTCATGACAGGAAAACATTTATCGTTTAAAAAAAAATTGGAACAAGTATGTTCACGTTTACTAACATTCTCGTACCTTTGCCATTCCTTCGCGTTAGTAGCGAATGCTGCGTGCAATAAACCCGATTTTTGCGAGGAATTTATTAAAAAGATTGCTAGCTATATTAACAGAAATCCAAAACCATCAGCTGTATTCACTGAATTTTGTAAATGTTTTCAAGAAAAAAGTCTTAAAATATTAAAATTATGTGATATGCGCTGGCTTTCTCGCTATTTTTGTGTTGAAAGACTTGTAGAATATTGGGATACAATAAGATACTTCCTTTATGAAATAGTTGTAAGCGAAAAAGCAGGTCCTGCCAAAGATTTATTGTCTATAATGGATAATGTAAAGACAAAAGCTTATTTTCTTTTCTTACAGTATATTTTAGATTTTTTTAATAAATTTGATGCACATTTTCAATCATTAGATAGGAATCATTAAACAGGAATTCATGAATTACAACCAAAATCTTTAACATTGCTTTATAAAATATGCCAAAATTTTTTAAAAAATGAGCATGTACAATGTTTTTCTGTACATATACTGTTTTCTTTAAAAGAAAATCAAAGAAATCTTGATGAAATTAACTTAGGATCAGAATGTTAGGAATATCTTAATCTAATGAATTAATGATGCAAGGACACGAAAATGTAGTTATAATAATTCAAAGCAACTGTTTGATGTTTTACATGACTGCTGCTGAGGAAATTCGTAAAAGATTGCCTGTAAAAACGATATTTTTTTATCAAAATTAAATGTTTTTGGACCTTCAGTATGTTTACAAGATACTGATAGAGAAACATCATTCAGCAATGTTTTATTCGTAGCTCAAACTATCGATGGTTTCGATGAAGACGCTTTAAAGAAAGAATGGTTTGCATTGCCATTAGATTTTGCATTACAGAAGAAAATCAGTCTCGCTAAATTAAGATTCGATGATATGTGGAAATAAATTTTGCAACATTCAAAGAATATTGATAAATATCCAAACTTAACAAAACTTTTAAATGCTGTACGATCTCTTCCAAATTCAAATGCCGATGCGAAAAGAATGTTTTCCTTCTTAACTGATTTGAAAACAAAAAACACAATAAATTGTCGTCAATTTCTGTTAATGCCGCTTGCATTGTGAAATCAGCATAAAAGCGAGAGGAGAAACTTCTTTAAGTATGACATCGAAGAAAAACATTTGTCTCGTATGTCGACGAACATATTATACAGTAGTGTTGCTAAAAAAAACGCAGTACTTTAGGATTACGTGCTGCTGATATAAATGATATTGCTGGTCCCTTGAGAACGGATTAAAAATATTAAATGCAAAATTTAAATCTTTGTAAACTTCCTTAAATATCCGTAAGGATATAACATTAAAAAGGGTATTAAAAATATTGTCCACGATATGACGCTTATGAATCCAATGAGCGAAACATCTAAAGTCGACACATTACATTAAGATTTCTTTAAAAGTTCTTTAAGAAGCATCTTCAATATATTTCATAAAGAACTTTGAGAGGTATTTTATATAAAGTTGATCTTGCGTCAATTTTAGACATCTTGGGATAGAAAAAATCAGCGAATTAAAATTTCCGGACATAACGCTTAAAAGCTTAAAAATATTGTCACACACACACACACACACACACACACACACACACACACACACACACTCACACGCGCAAACATCCAGGTAAAAAATTAATTTTTAACATTTATTTTTTGACAACAATTGTAAATGTAAATATATTGTAAATTTATTTATGAATTTTATATTTATTTTTATATAATAACAATTTTTTTACATTTCCCTCCTGACGGAAGAGACCACCACCTTCTCGCGGTTTTCGTTGAGCAACAATATGTACGTTATTTAAAATAAATAAGATGAAAGTAACAGTACAATATTTTTTAAATAATTTACGTTATAAGTTATGATATAATTAAAAGTGCTATAATTAATTTCATTATAATATAACATAACATTTTAAATTTAAAGACGTTCATATTGGCTGAAAGTGGATACTTTCACATTCACAAATTTTAATGTTGCATAATTCGTAGAAGTATGCACTATAGTATTATCTAATACACCTCACTTTATTCCGATTAATATTTAAAATATATAGGAAACTAGAGTGATATTTTGATAATAATATCGCGCATTGACAAGAGAGAGAGAGAGAGATTCTTGGGAATACGAGAACATGAGAGTGTTTATCGTGTAGATTCTATATTGCACTAGTAAACGTCAAACTCAATTAATCGATGTGGCTGAGTAAATAAAATGCGTGGACAGTCTCACGCTGATAGTCTCACGCGAAAATCCTGTTTTTCTCTTTTTCCTCCTTAATATATTTTCCTGATACAAGTAGTTTAATTAATTATCTGTATAAGGTCAAATAATATATTTTCGTATAACAATTGCAATTATTCGTGAACCTTAAAATAAAAAATTGTAGGAAAAATAATGATTCGACATGTATGGTATGTATTCGACTTAATCGATGAAAGATTCTTATAAAAAAAACATCTCTCTTACATGGGCCAAACTAAAAGGAAAGTTAAAACTGGAATAAATGAATATAAAACTAACATTAAAAAATTAAATAACGCTCACAATGTGATCTCACAACATCAATTTGAATATTGTCACAAATTTAATTGGGATAATATTTAGATATTAGATATAGCATCATTCTTTCAAAAGAGAAACGTCAGAAATGATCTTCATAAATAAACAAAATGACACGGAAAAATTACCAGAAACATATTATACTTGCCCTTGTTAACTTCTTCTACATAATTTTAGAATTTTCCACTCGCGGGACATAAATTGTATATAAACCGTCTTTCATGATTAGAGTTAGATATTTTGTTTTCAATTCTTGAGCAGTTCAATATAATTTTCCAAGTCTTGGATTCCATAATTCAACTTATTGTTAACACAGGTATCATAATTTATATATATATATATATA